AGCCCTATTCCCGCATGTGTTACGGTTGTACTGGCCAGCCATTATACAATTGATTCGTTCTCGAATAGGAAAGAGTATGCGATACAAAATTCCAAGATTATCGGTAAAAAACTCTACGACAGATAGAATCACACCAATCGAACAGATGAAAACGGTAAAAACGCTGGTAAAAACACACCTGTCGGAGAGTTAAGTACTCCGTATAAAAGTAGACCTTAGAAAATACTAAGATCCAGTAAGTTTGTGAAATAACTAAGGATATTTCACGACTCAACGCAAAGAAAATCGTAGAAAGCAGAGCAGTTCAAAAGTTCAAACCGCTCGGTAACTCNGATTGGAGTAATCTGTGGTTTACGGAGTCCAATGCATTCTGAAACATCGGATAGATTATCTCGACGTTTTCTCCTTCGTCGATTATCCCCGCAACTTCATACAGGCAACAAAGTCAGTTCGACAAGCAAGGCCTACGCACGATTCCTTGCTTTCCCTCGTCACACTAATCAGAACTGACCGGAGTGCTCCTTCCATTCGCACTACTTCTCAAAGGAAAGCTGAAAACAACATTATGGGACCAGTGGGGTCAGTCTCGAACATCAGACTCTCTTCACGACTACCCGACCCGGGAAATTTGGGTAACAGCCTCGAACCCGTGAATTACTTCAAGACTTCAAGACTGCCAGACTGTGGGGGACGGTAAAACCACATGATTCGAGTGCGCGAAAACTGCCATTAAAATGAAATGACATAAATGTTCCAGTAAATAAGGGGAAAGAGCAAATAAAACCTCACAGTATTAAGTCCAAAGTATCAAGTTCAAGATCCCTCTGAGGCCGGTCTATCTATTTGTTTTGTCGAGCATCACTCTCTCCGGCGCGCACTTTCAACTCGTCGTGTTCCCCAGCATGCGCTACCTAGCCGCCTACATGCTGTGCCAGTTGGGCGGAAAAGAGCACCCAACCGCTGCGGATATCAAAAGCGTACTCTCATCTGTTGGAATAGAACATGAGGATAGCCGATTGGACTTGGTGAGTCACTTGCGCTTGTACTTATCTTCCGCAGCTCTTGAAGGAGCTATCAGGGAAAGAGACAGCCAAATTAATCGACGAAGGTCGTTCCAAGATGGCATCTGTCCCTATGGGCGGTGGTGGAGTTGCCGCCGCACCGGCTGCAGCTACAGCTGCTCCTGGAGCACCAGCTGAGGCTCCGGCAGCTGCGAAGGCTGCCCCGGCCAAAGAGGAGAAAAAGGAAGAATCCGAATCCGACGCAGACATGGGCTTTGGTTTGTTCGATTAAACACGCGGTTCTCTGTAATATATACTTCTAATTGGAACTCATGTAAATGGAGTTTTGATTCATACTGTTTGGGTTTTGCGGTAGTTAGTTTATACTGAATGAGTTTCAGCAACCTTTTGTTATTAGAGAAGATGAAGAACGTCGTGTTGTAGTAGTGCGTGTTACATAAGGGACCTTCGGTTGCGTTCTTTTTGGTTGCCTTGAAATTTGCGCCGTTCGGGTGCGACGATGGCAACTCACGTATGCTTTTGGGGGTCCTTCGTTGACCAATGTTTTGGTTCGCCCGGTTTCTATCATTGTTGCTTGCAAAGCGATTCATTACTAATGCTTATTCCCATGGGTCGTCGGACAGCGTCGTGCATATCCATTCGAACGGATTACGTGTTTATGGTGCTAGCGTTTAGTTCGTCGCTGCAGCAGTGACGAAAAGCCCAAATACGTATGTAGATTGTAGCTCCTAGTTTCTTGTGGATCTAATTGAACAGTTTATTTTTTGCAACCATTAACCATGCACTTTCCTAATTGAGTTGAATATAAATTTCTTGATTCCTAAGCGAGGCTGTAAACCTCACGCATTCGTCATGACAGTATTAGGTTTATCTCATGCGACCGCGATGTGTGGGATTCGAAGGCGATGGTCAATCGGTAAACCACAAGTAAATCCACAGGTTTGTAGTAGTCATGTCGGGNGGGTTTACCACAATTGAGTGTCTGGATTACGGTATCCACGAGTACGTGCATCGAGCAACGGACGAAGGAACAAACTAATGAGAGAGCGACTGATATTCTGCGGTCTGGATAACGATTGTATTTGAATGATCCGTAGAACAGGGGCCGACAGGTGAGAGCGTTCAGAAAGTGAAAGTCAACGTGCCATGACCAACTAGGTGATCTTGGTCCGTTGAAACAACCAGGTCCGAATATGAGAAAGAGAGACGTGCTCGAAGGAGTTGATGCTGTCACTACAGATTTGATACATGGAATTAATATCAACATGTTAGGCACTAGATGCGTGGTGGCATGACCAAGCAACGCAAAATTTTCGCCCCTTGGCCTTTGCCACGAACGTTTCTAGTGATTCCTGTCACGCTTCTCGCTTATTGGACTTCGGTCACTTTTATTTTAGGAGAACTCCAACAACTGCTCCAGTTGTCACTCGCTGCAATTAAGTTAGTTGTCGGATCATCAGTGACTTCGAGTGTTGGTCGAGGGTAAATTGTATTCAGGTTTAATCAGCAGTATGCGTTAGGGTTGTGCGGTCACAGCGAAGCGGAAAGACGCAGTCGAATGTGGCCAAGTCTGACAGTGCCACAGTACCATCGCGACGAGATTGCACCTTGACATGGTGTGATGGCTTGTGCACCTCGCCGACCCAGTGGGCTGCACAGGATGGCTTTTGTCGAACCAGGAGATTCCTGGAAGGTCAATGGATGAGGGTTGGACGAAGTCCAGTCTCCTGGTCCTCCAGATTGCGGGTTTGACTAGAATTGGCGTTCCAGTCTAAAAAATGGTGGAGTAATAGATCCAAATAAATGGACCCCACTCCGCTTCACCCGCTGCCTTTCAGTTAGGTTCTTGTCAGAGCTAAACAATTGCTAATGCTAAGTAATCGTTCTCAATTAGTGCCTGGACACCCCAGCAGTAACCGTCCACCAAATCCCAATGCGTGCACAAACTAAAAGCAGATCCACACTGCATCGGTCGTCGCGCAGGACGGTGAGGACCGCGCAGCTCATTGCATCGAGCGGGGTGGTTATTGGGCCACTACTCAGATATCCTAACCTATGTTTAATTCTGTCTTCCGTACCTAACCCTCTCCGTTTGCCTCCTGCCGACCTGTAATGGTCCCTCAAACAACCTGGATCTCGCTTGCCTAGGGTGGTTGCCAAATAACAGTAGGTAATTTGTCACGAAATGGATTGTAGATTCTTATGCCTCGTCAATCATTAGATCTGGATGCCTTCAACGGTAGGACTCGGATGCAGGTAGGTCGACAAGCTCGTCTGTGATCAATATTTGCTGCGTGTCGAAGACTCGAATTCATGATCCTACTACTATAAGCCACTTGAGCGCGCCAGGTTTTACACCGCGAGATACGTTCTCCGTATATTAGGCGGCGACGAAGCCCGTGCAGTAGGCCAGCTCGGAGTTGGTACCGTATTCAGTAACAGGGCTGAGTCCTCTCCTATCGATTGAATGTCCGTCGATAGCCGTTTACGTGCAGTTAGTCTCCAGGGCTCAGTCAACGTCCGTAAGGGAAGCAGCACCAAAACGTTTTTGTTGATCATATCGGCATATGCACCAACCCATTGCGGTT